AACAAAAAACAAAACAAAAACAAAGCAAAACAATAATAGTACTAGGAAAGTCTGTGGCTTAATGTAGATATGCCTTTAATGTCCTAACTCTCTTTCTGTCACTCTGCCCTCCTCTGCTGGTTGTTAGGTGCTGTCGGGTCAATCTACCCATAACGGCCCTGTATATGGTTTCTGAGGAGCTGCTGGTGAGCTTGAACCACCAGCCCTGCAGTTCAAGAGGCTCCTTAGTGGCGCCCCAGCCCTCTGAGCCTCGGTGGGACGGCTATAAAAGGGAGACCTAGATAGGGTTCCTGAGGAGCAGCTGGTGAGCTTGAACCACCGATCTTGCAGTTCATAAGGCTCTGTAGTATGCTGTCTCAACCCTTAGAGCCACACCAGGGTTCCTGCTAGACTAGTGCAAGAAGCATACCCAGATAGGTGCACTTCTGCGTCTCAGCCTAGGCTGAGTACACAGCGTCCTGAGCATTGGCTGGTGGACATGAATCACTGCCCTTGCAGTTCAATAAGCTTTGTGGCAGGGTGGGTCCCACAGGGGTTCTGGGAGGCTGGGCGGGGCTCCCCCTTGTTATGGCGTGTGGGTGTGTTCAGCAGGGTGAGTGAGGGTGCTCTGAGGTGGAGGGAATAATCCCATGGGGGAGCCTGGTGGGCCTGGTGGTCAGGGTTGGGTCACGAGTGATCAGTCAGGCGGTGTGGGTCTAGTGGTGGGTCCCGTGGGCAGGGCGGTGCTTGCGCTGAGGTGCTGCAAGCAATGCAGGGGGGTGTTGCGATGTCCTGCAAGCAGTCCGGGGGGTGGAGGGAGGGGGTTTGGGCGGCCCAGGCGGGGTTCTAGCTTGTTATTTCCTGTGGGCAGGGGCAGGGTCAGCGTCAGCGGGGTGTGTGCACGCCCTCGAAAGTTAGGGCACGCTCTGGTGGGTGTTTGAGTTCTGGACCTGGGTCTGGGGAAGGCGGAGGTATGGGTAGGGGGTTAATGGTGTGGGTGAGAGGCCACTTGGCTGTGCGGACAGTCCTTGCCTGATGACGTCAGACAGGCGCCGTTTTTGTCCCCCCCCCCCTTTTTTTTTTTGTTCCCTTCCTCTCTTTTTTTTTTTTATTGCCTTCTAAAACAATATATAACTTATTTATACTAAATTTCAGTGTTCATTTTTTTTTTGTTCCCTTCCTGTCCCTGTTGCTTGCCCACTCTCTGCCCACTAAATTACACGGTCGGGCAGATAACCCTCACTTTCTCCTCCCCCTGTTCCCCTGTTCAATAATTACTGAAAGCGCTGCTTTCAGCTCGAGTTGGTTCCAGCCCCGCCCCCCCACGCTGAGAGGTGTTGGGGCTGTGCCACTCGCAGCCTGCGGCAAGTACAAGCTTAAAAAGCTAGGAGTTCCTCAGTGCGGTGATTTTTAAAAAAGGCTAGTTTAAGATTTTGATGTACTGAGACTTATGGTGGCTGTTATGGCGTGGGTTCACCACAGGAAGGTTTGTTTTCGTGAATTACCCTCCCTCAAACCTGTAGGCCCACTCACCTGGGCCATCTGGCCATCTGGCAAACCGGAAGTCATGCTTATATTTTTATTTTATATGTATAAATATGGTATTTTTAAAATAAAGTAAATGCTTTAGTTTCTCAAATAGTATTTAAAATAAGCCAGCATAAACTATTCTTTAAAAAAAAAAAAATATTTTTGTATTGTTTTGTTGCTAAGTGGCATGGAGTTGGGTCTGACTCACGGTGACCCTGTATAGAATTTCCAGGGAGCAGATGGTGGGTTTGAACCACTTTGACTTTTTGGTTAGCAGTCAAGTGCTTATCGTACAGCACCACATCAAGCCTCCTTCTTATATTAGTATGTAAAAATCTTTGATTTTTTCAAATTTCATGAAGTAATTGTCTACTTTGTTGATTTATGGCATTCTGATATTATATAAGAAATATGTGATTATCAAGATGTTACCTGGCTTAATATGTCAATATCAATTAATATTTTTCACTAACAGATATGGATATGTATGTGCCACAAAAATTATGAAATTGAGGAAAATACTTGAAAAAGTTGAGGCTGCATCGGGATTTACCTCCGAAGAAAAAGGTGGTTATCTTAATTTATTGGATATGTATTAAAAAGACATTGAAATTATATGCTGAATTACTGGTTAAAATATGAGAAGGTTTTAGAAAGTTTTGGGGAAAATAGCATGAAAAAATATTGGAATTTTTCCATGTACTTTTTGAAGCACCATTTTATGTATCATTTTGGAGTTTGATTTTATGTTAGCTATTTCTTTTTATGTGATAGACAATTCCTCCCCCATTTCCCCCCCTTTTTTTAAAAAACGAATGAAGATGTAGAATAGTAAAATACTAAAAACTAGAAGCTGGCTGGCTCTAGATTAATAAGTGAATAAATTGAAAGCTCTCTTCTTTCTACCCATTGATGATATTCTAAGTTGGTATTTTTTCTGTTCAGCTTTTTACTTCATCATTTCTCCCAGTGGTGAAGGGTTGCATTGAGCCATCACATTTTCTCACTTGCCTTGTTACAGCCCTGCTGAGTGGAATTAAGTTTATGATCAGTGTTTTCATCTATTAATGGATTTACTCAGATATTGACTTTGAATTGGTTAGCAGTAATGTCTAGAGGTGTGACAAATATTTAAATATCAGGGAAAAAAGGGGTCCATTCTACAGGCTTTACTGGATTTTTCCAAGCCCCTTTCCCCCCAATACAATAAAAATTATTTCACTGAGCGAATTATATTCTTCCAAATACAATTGTTGTTGTTAAGTGCCGTCGAGTCGGTTCTCCAAATACAATAAAGATATAAAAAAGTAAAGCATAATACTGTTTTATAACCTCTGTTGTTGTCAAGTGCTGTGGAGTTGGTTCTGTCTCACAATGACCTTGTATAGGGTTTCTGAGGAGCAGCTGGTGGGTTTGAACCACCAACTTTGTGGTTAGCAGTCCAGTGCTTAACCTATGGTGCCACACCAGGATGTCTTATCATAAACTTTATATTTTTTCTTAGGAAAATTTTGAGAAATAGCAGTTTAACTGAAATAATATTGATTGTGAAATTAATATCAATATTTGTTGTTGTTGTTGTTATTGTTAAGTACTGTTGAATAGTTTCAACTGTATAGAGTTTCCAAGTTGCCGCTGGTGGGTTTGAACAGCCACCTTGTGGTTTGTAGTCCAGTGCTGATCCTACAATGCACACTAGGAATCTAATATCAATATAGAAATGTTTTTTACAAATAAAAATAGAATAAGCCTGTAGGTTTTGTCTGTGTTTTACTTCATTTTTTGTATTTTCGTAGATCCTGAAGAATTCTTGAATATCCTGTTTCATCATATTTTAAGAGTAGAACCATTGTTAAAAATAAGGTAAAATTTTAATTTTCATAGAAGCATTGGAAAGATAGGGTGTTTATATCCATTGCCATTATTTAGTAGAAATTATTTCATTAGTGATTGCTTAATATTATATTTGTTTAGCATCCTTACTCTGCTTGGAAAGTGTAATGTAAATTCATTTTAATCATTCTATTCTGTAGAGTACCTCATTTAACTTGAAGAATGAATACAGTATAAATTTGTGTTTTTAATTTTAACCCATTAATAAATAGCATTGAAAATAATTTTCTTATTAGATATAAATATTTTTATAATTAAAGTTAATGAACCATTTAGGAGAATCTTATTGTAACCTAACAAACACTGTGAGGATACTGTGTTTGTCTTACCTTCTCGAATTGACTTGCCTGTTCTCACTTTGGGAACTTGATTGAACTCCCCCCACCCCAGTTTATAGGTGGTTTGCAGATAGTTTGAGTGTTCACAACTTAAATGTTGGAACTTATTACATTGTAACCTTGGTTTTTCTGTTGAAACTCTTCTTAATGCACTGTGTCTTTTTCTATAACCTAATCACAGACAAATGCCTTTGCTCATCTCTCTGTTTCAGGAATGTTTGATGCGAATGTTGAGTTAATGGATGAGAAGAAGGAAGAAAGAATGGACAATATCACTATTATAGTTTTATATTGTTTAGGAAATTGTAACTAATGAAATAAGATACAATACATAAACATCAAGAATACAAATTTATATGTTCAGAGATGTGATAATTACGCTTATGCTTGGAAAATCCTAGAGCATTGTCCAGAAACTACAGGCAGATCTTGTTTAATTGTGCTTCACAGATACTGCATATTTTCAAAATTTGAAAGTTTGTGGCAACCCTACATTAAGACATTTTTCCAACAGCATGTGTTCACTTTGTGTCTACATTTTGGTAAAACTACATATTGGTAGTTCTCGTAATATTTCAAATTTTTTCATCATGGTATTGCAAACTAAATAGACTATAGTATAGTGCAAACTTAACATTTATATGCACTGGGAAACCAAAAAATATGTGACTTGCTTTAATGCGATATTTGCTTTATTGTGATCTGGAACTGAACCCGCAGTATCTCTCAAGTATGCTTGCACTAGAGTTAGCAAAAGAGTTTGTAATTTGGCCATGTAAATGTTGCTGATTTTCTTAGGTGATGTGTCTGACTCATAGTGGCCCTGTTTACCTCAGAATGAGATTGGGCCTATGTCATCCTCACCATTGTGACTGTTTTTGAACCCATTGTTACAGCCACTGTGTCAGTCCTTCCTACTGAGGGTTTTCCTCTTTTTTGATGACCCTCTACTCTTCCAAGCATGATATCCTTCTCCAGGGACTAGTTCCTCCTGATAACATGCCTCATATCCTTGCTTTGAAGGAATATTCTGGCTGTACTTCTTCCATGGCGCATTTGTTTGTTCTTCTGGCAATCCATGGTCTATTCAATATTCTTCACCAACACCATAATTCAAATGCATCAATTCTTCTTGAGTCTTCTTCATTCACTGTCCAGCTTTCAAATGTGTATGTTGTTGCTGTTAATTGCCATTGTGCCATTTCCAACTCATAGCGATCCTGTGTAGGGTTTCTGAGAAGCAGCTGATGGATTTGAACCACCGCCCTTGCAGTGTTTATCTATAGCACCACATCAGGACTCCTTAACTTATTTTTGTTATGTGCCATCGAGTCAGTTCCGACCCATAGTGACCCTGTAAAGGGTTTCCGAGGAGCGGCTGGTGAGCTTGAACCATCATTCTTGTGGTTCAAAACAACTTTGCAGTCGAGCACATTAACTCACAGCACCACACAGGCAGTGTATGATCAAGCACTAATGGTATTAAAAGAAGAAGTTCAAGCTGCCCTGAAGCGAGAAACAAGGCTCCAGTAATTAGTTACTGGAATACCAGAATTACTAAAATCACTTTCCTGAACTAAAAAAAAAAAAAAAAAAAATCTGTAAAGATCTTGCTTATATGCAAATATTTTGTGGAAAAAATCACGTTTTTAAAATATTTAATTTTCCTGTCCACAACACAAGGAGTCCTGGTGGTGCTATAGGGTAAGCACTGAACTGTTAACCACAGGCCCACCATTCAGATCCACCCTCTGCATCATGGGAGAAAAATTGAGACGGTCTGTTTCCGTTTAGATTTACAGCCTTAGAGCTCTGCCATAGGGTCACTGTGAGTCAGAATCAACTCATTTGCAGTGGTTGTGGTTTATCTAGAACACAATTTTTCTTATCAAATCATCATTTAGCAGTGCGCAAATCTTTTACACAATTTATACCAGTAAAACTCACCAGTAGTTATACTGCCATTGGGAGTGTGGTGGCTCCGCATGATAAACACTGGACTGCAGACCACAAGGTCCATGGTTTAAGCTTGCCCAGACATTCTGTGGGAGAAAGATGAGGCTTTCGATTCCTGCGAAGATTTTAAAAACCTTGGAGACCCTATTCCAGGGTCGCTAAGAGTGGGAACTGACTCAACAACACTTAACAACAACAATATTGGATTGATAATTACATTCCGTAGTGATAGCTAATTCAATCTGTGTTTCAACGGCTGCCTATTCAGGTCTTTGTCACAAAGATAGATATACAATTCATGAACATTGTCTTCTTTATAGTTGTCCATTTTCCTTAAAAGTTAACACAACATGTGTATCCTTCTGCCCTTAGATTTCCATGAGTGGAAAACTACAAACCATATTGTACAATAGTACCGACTTTGTTGTGGTTCCTGTCTGTGTGTGTTTTAACAACCAGCTAATTACTCCAGGGAGTTAGCTTCCTCAATCATTAGTAATGAGGTTTGAGTGTGTGTTGTTCCTCCTTTCTTCCTTGTCCCATTGTCAGAAAGCTGTTTATCTTCTCCACTTTCTTCAAGCTAGGTTGTGTCATGTTCTTCCAATCCTGATGCATTCTTCTTCATATTGTTCAGTTTTTGAGGTTATTTGCTCAGCATATTCAGATTGACTAAGTATGGTGAAAGGATACAACCATAGCACACACCATTCCAGATTTCAAACTACACAATATTTCCTTGTTCTATTCAAACAACTACCTCTTGATTTATGTACAAGTCCACACAATCACAGGCAAGTATTCTGGAATTCAGTTCTTTGCAATGTTATCCATAATTTGTTGTGATTCACATAGTCAGATGCTTTTGCATATTCAATATGCATACTCTGTTCAGTAAGATTCATCTGACATCAACAGCGATATCTCTCATTCTATGCTTTCTTCTGAATCTAGCTTGAATTTCTGGCCATTTCCTGTCGATGTACTGCTGCAATTGTTTTTGAATTATCTTCACCAGATTTTTATATGTGTGTGGAATTAATGATACTGTCTGGTAATTTCAGCATTCTTTTGGGTCCCCTTTCTAATAGTAAGCACAAATATGGATCTCTTTTAGTCAGTTATCCAGGAAGCTGTTTTCCAAATTTGTTGGCATACACGAATGAGAGCTTCCAGCAGTGCATCCATTTGTTGAAAGGTCACAATACGTTTCCATCAATTCCTAGAGCCTTGGTTTTTGCCCGTGCCTTTTGCGCCTCTTCCTTCCTCATCATATGCTTCCTCTGGACATGACAACATAATTAATTATGTACTCCTTCGATCTTCTTCTGATGCTTCTTGTTTGTTCAGGATTTTGCCCACAGAATCCTTCAGTATTGCAACTTGAGGCTTGAACTTTTTCTTGTTCTTCAGGTTGAGAATTGACAAGTGTGTTCTTCCCTTTTGGTTTTCTAACTCCAGGACTTTGAATATTTTATTATATTAATGTTTTCTCCAATCACCCTTTGTAATCTTCTATTCACTCTTTTTCTTCATTTCTTCTTTTCACTTTTTAGCTACTCTAAATTCATGTGCAAGTTTCATAGTCTCTTCTGGCATCCATTATGGTCCTTTTTATTTTATTTTTTATCCTTTCTTATAATTTTAATGATCTTTTGTTTTTGTTTTTTTTCATGTATGATGTACTTGGTGTCATCCCACAACTTGTCTGGTCTTCAGTCATTAGTGTTCAGTGCGTCAGATGTATTCTTGACACATGATCTGTACATGCAGGGGGGATATACTTAAGGTTGTTCCTTGGCTCTTGTGGATGTGTTATCTTCAGTTTCAACTTGAACTTGCATGTGAACAATTGATAGCCTATTCCACAGTTGGTCCCTGATGTTTTTCTGACTGATGATACTGAACTTCTGTCTCACCTCTTTCCACAGATGCAGTCAATTGATTCCATGTATAATCACTGTCATAGTTATCTATTGCTGCTGTAACAGAAATACCACAAGTAGATGGCTTTAACAAACTGCAAAAGCCATGTGGGGCCATGTCTGACATCCTCTGGCTTCACAAGGGAAAGGAGAATCAAATTCTATGATGTGGAAGTCAGACCGGCCTCCATCCTACAACCTTCTGTATCTTATCTGACACCAACCATCCCTCCCGTAGCTCTATCTGGGATTGATAATCCATTGCAATGGCCACACAGAACTCAGAGAAGTATTCACAATTATGGGGTTCTTAGGGAAGTGAACAGAGTACAACTCAGGATGCAGCAGTTCTTCAATCAGGAACGCCTCTTTCTCAGACATGCCTCACTCGTGGCATCTTGGCTATATGGCCCCTCGGCCTCTGCCCTGCTGGGCAAGTGTTACAAAGCTCCTTTGTAGTTGTTGTTAGGTACCATCAAATTGGTACCGACTCATACGACCCTGTGCACAACAGAATGAAACACTGCCGGTCTTGGGTCAACCTCACAGTCGTTGCTACATTTGAGCCCATTGATGCTGCCACTGTGCCAATCCATCTCTCTCAGGGTTTTCATCTTTTTCTCTGACTCTCCACTTTACAAAACATGATATGCTGCTCCAGTGATTGGTCCCTCCTGACAGTTGTCCAAAATATGAGCGATGAAGTCTGGCCATCCTGGCCTCCTAGGAGCACTCTGGCTGTACTTCTTCCAAC